ATTATTTTAAAAATATATAAAATATTAATTATAATTAATAAAAGTATATAAAAAATTAATTAAAAATATAAATTTAATTATTTTAAATGAAATGTTGTGTAAAAAATATGTGAGAAGTAGTGTGAAAGGAAGCCTAAAATATTGAAGATATATACGTTGCCATATATATTAAAGTGCATCACTTGATTGGAAAAACTTTTAGTAGATGGTTAACAACCTTGACCATTTCCTAACCTCTTAAATACGCAAAAAAGGAAAAAAAATGATTAAATGTCTAATAAAATCTTCTTTGTCATAATTCATCCATCACACTATCTCTATCAATATGTACCAAAAAATAAAAACACTATCTTCATCAACACTAACCGTCCATGTTTTTATTATACAAATAAGGACAATGATCGGTACACTTTCCGGTTCAATACTCTTCAGTTTAATCATTAAAAAATTACTATTTTTTTGTTTGAAATTAAAAACAGACAAGTATAATGATACAATCATACATACAGGATACAGAAACCAACTGAATTAATATATTTATATTATATTTTTAATGATTAAACCGAAAGATATTGAACCAGATATTGAACCGATGAATGTACCAATCATTTCCCTACAAAAATAAAGACATGTGGCTGCAATTTTTCTTTCTATTTATTTATTTATGATTATCTGTGACTCACTGGCTGTAGTCTTCACAGCTAACGAATGATATATCAACGTTAAGTTTAGGTTTGGTAATTAGTACTATGTCAACTTTTAAAATAATGATCGGTACACATCTCGACTCATACACTAGTACAATACATTCACTAAAAGCTATTAGTTTTTAGTATAAAATTAAAGATAAACAGATTTAAAAATGTAATTATGCATACATATAAAAAAAAGGATAAATCAATTGTATTTATATTATATTTTAATAATTAAACCATGAAAAATATAAAAAAATATATTAAACTAAGTGTATACTATTTTTTTTTAAAATTTTCAATATATCTAAAAAGGAAATATACAGCTTCAAGAAATATGATCGGATGTGCCATTTGCTTTTCTGGACGAAAAGAAGGCCATTTGAATGAATGATAAGTTGTGGCCAGGCCATTGTTAAAAAATGGGAAAATGATGTGTGTACACCCGGATTCAACACCCGGTGTGCACACTCTGCATAAAAAAAAAAAGGATCTGGGTGCACACAATTTTTTTTTTATGTGGGGGGTGCACACCTGGTGTTGGATCTGAGTATGCACTGATCATGATCCTAAAAAATGGGATGTATTTATACAAAAAGGTTCCAACTTTTTCTTTTTGGGTGAATAGATTCCAATGTATTTGCCCTACATTAGAGACTCTTTACTCACCAAAAGAAATAAAAAGGAAAAAGAAAAA